GGAGGAAGAGGAGGAGGAGGAGGAGGAGGAGGAGGAGGAGGAGGAGGAGGAGGAGGAGGAGGAGGAGGAGTTGGAGGAGGATTTGGAGGAGGATTTGCAGGAGGATTTGGAGGATGAGGAGGAGGGGCGAGGAGGAGAAGAGGGAGGAGGAGGAGGTGGCGGAGGAGGAGGAGGAGACGCTGGGCGCTGCTGATTAAAAGCAAGGACCCAAGACAGCAGGATGGTCGAGAAACATCGGGACGGCGGCTTTGTCGCGACGACCTCCGTCCTTGCTGCCAGAAGCGCTCCGTGCGTAGTTGCCAAGAGCCGCGTCGGTTCGGAAAGATGCCAGCGGCGACAGACTGGGAGGTGCCAGCGGCAGCAGGTTCAGAGCTGCCGGTGAGACTCGGTGCGGGGGCGCTCCGCCGTCGGAGAGACAAGCAGGGCTCGGCCCAATCAATGTTTTTCGTTGACGTTTTGTTCTCGTTTTCCGTTGTTATGTGTTCGTTCCGCCTTTGTTGCAGAAGGAAGCCAAAACGGCTGTGGTCTATCTCCCCCAGGATCTTGAGCCCATCGTCGGTGCAGGTGCCGTGACCGTCCTCGCTCCTCGCGCCTTCTGTGGTGTTCCGTCTCCCAGCTTCAGGGCTCGAGCGGAACGGCGTTCTGGCGATCTTGTGGGCCGTTTTCGCTTTGATTCTGCCTGGCGGCAAGGGTGGGTCGAAGAGAGAAGAACGGGAACACGACAACAAACACGAACCCATAAAACACGGTTCAGGTCGATCCCTGGCAGGCTTCCCGTTCTGCAAGTCTTTATCTTTGCCTCGGAACCAGTCGCGCAGCGTCCGCCGGTCATGCGCGCGAGGGAGGGAGGAGGGGAGGGAGGACGAGGAGGAGGAGGAGGACCAGTGTAAATCCAAGAGTCATCAACGATGTTGGAATACACCCTCCCTCCAAGCTCCTTCATAGGCTCCTACAACGGTTCAATTCCACTGAGGGAACTGCCACGTTGGAAGACAACCGTTTGAAGATGCTGAAGCATGTGAAAACATTGTTCTCGGGATTCCAACGCCACGGAACAACCTGATTGTTTCGTCTTGACGATCCTGAGTTGTTCCAGAACGCCATTCCCGGGATTTCAACACCGCGGACCAACGTAACTGTTGCGCCCTCGTAATCCTGAGTCCTTCCAGACAAAACAAGTGCTGGTACGCTGATCGTGGTAATCCGTGAAGTTCATGCAATTTGTTGAGGCAAATGTGCGCGGCGCTCAGGCGAGAGCCACATTTTGAGAACCACCCGCCCTCAATTCGTGACGCTCTTGAGAATGTTTAAAACGAATGTGCGCGGCGCTAATGCTAGAGCCACAATTTGAAAACCACCCGCCCTCAATCCGTGAAGCCCTTGCGAATTTTTAAAGCGAGTGTGCGCGGCGCTAAGGCGAGAGCCACATTTCGCAAACCACTCGCCCTCCATGTGTCAAACTGTTGTCGCTGTCAAGCTTCAGGGTCACAATTGGTGAGGAAGCCTGAGGCGAAGCGCCCGGCCCGCCCTGAAAACTGGCCTCGGGGTGTGACGGGGAGAAGTTGTGTGTAAGGAAAAGGAATGGAGGAGGTCATAGCATTACACTGCCGTTTTTAATATATAGCACCCCGCAATTGCGGATAAGAGTGAGGGGGCGGGCGCGGGGGACGCGGGCGTCGTCAAGCCGGCGGACCTCGTGGCCCCCACCTTCCCTGTCGATGGCGCTCTCCTTCTCTCCCCTCCTCCTCCTCCTCCTCCTCCGCCTCCTCCTCCTCCTCCTCCTCCTCCTCCTCCTCCGTCCTCGTCCTCGTCCTCATCGTCATCGTCGTCCTCCTCCTCCACCTCGTCCTCCTCCTCTTCTTCCTCGTCCTCCCTCTCCCCCCCTGTCCTTCCATCATCGTCCTCCCATTGTCGTCATGATCCTCCTCGTCGTCCTCCTCCTCTTCCCCCCCTCCCGATCCTCCCCCCTCCTCCTTTTTGTCGTCGTCGTCGACGTCGTCGTCGTCGTCGTCGTCGTCGTCGTCCCCTTCCTCCCCCTCCTCCTCCTCCTCCTCCTCCTCCTCCTCCTCCTCCTCCTCCTCCTCTTCCTCCTCCTCCTCCTCGTCCTCCTGCAAAAGCAGCCCGCCGCAGGCGCCGAAAAAATTGGTTTGTACACTGAACGTGGTTTGGGTCGCTGGTGGGCCGCGGGTTCTCCACCAGGAA